TTGCATGAATCCTCAATTTCCTTGACCCTTTCTATACTGGCTTGGCAAAACTCCAACCATGGGTTTAATTAAATTATTTTCCTATTTCATACCTACACCATGCAGATGAACATGACTGGGTAAAATTACATAGTCATGTTAACTTATCTCTCTTAAATTTGTTACCTTAGCCAGTTACCATGGCACATGCCTGTAAATCCCAGTGGCTTCAGAGGCTGAGGCAGGAGGATGGAAAGTTCAAAGCCAATCTCAGAAACTTAATAAGGATTTAAGCAACTTTGTGAGACCCTGTCTCAAATTTAAAAAGTTAAAAAGGGCTGGGGATGTGGCTCAGTGGTTAAGCACCCCTTGGTTCAATTCCCAGTGCCGGAAAAAAAATTGTTACTTCATGTAATGACTCTTAAGACAGGAAGTTGTATTTCCCAGTTCCTTCACTTTCATGTCCTTCCATTTCATATTTCCTTTTTTCCTTGACATCTAACACTTTTTTTCTCATTTGTCCTCTTAGTGACATTACCTTCACTTTTACTGAAAAAAAAAATGTTATCAAAAGAAAAAGTATGGGGATGGCATTGTGGCTCACTGGGAGAGCATTTTCCTAGCATGTGTGAAGCACTGGGTTCAATTCTCAGCACTACACAAAAATAATAAATAAACAAAATGAAGGTATTGTGTCCATCTACAACTAAAAAAAAATTTTAAAGAGAAAGTACAAGCTCCCATTCCCACATATATCCGCCTACTAGTATTTATACCTAAATTTTGCCTTACCTTCTTATTAATAGAGATAAATTTTGTGCCACCTCTGAGATTGACCCTTTCATTTATATAATGGATTTTACCCCCAGGACATTATGCCAGAAATTTATTAATCTCCCATCCCAGAATTTTCCTCCTCTTTTGAATTATTCTCAATTGTATAAATGCATGCTGTTACTTGTTCTAAATAAAAACAAACAAATAAATAAATAATGTTATGATGTATGAAGTATACCTCAATAAAGCTATTATTTAAAAAATTAAATTTGAACTAAAAAAAGGAATATTTCATCTCTTCTTAGCTCTTATCTTTCATATGAATTTTAGAATAACTTTGCCAGGCCTTTGAAGAATCCTGTGGGGATTTTTGGATTTTAATGAGTTTATACATTAGTTTAGGAAGAAAATTATGTTTTCATTACTTTATCATTTCCTATTCATAAATTTTGTATATATCTGTTTTTACTTATATTTTCTGTTATGTCCTTCAACAAAGTTTCATATTTTTCCATGTATATATCTTTTTATCTAAATTTATTCCTAGGTATTTTTGTTGGGAAGTGGAATATCATCTTTTTAACACTTATTTTTCTCTGATTGAGTAATGCAATTGATGTTTGCACATTATTTTTGTATTCTGTAACTTTGACTAACTTTTTTTGGGGGTGGGTACTTGGGATTTTACTCAAGGGTGCTTTACCACTGAGCTACACCCATAGTCTTTTTTATTTTTTTGAATCGGTGTTTTGCTAAGTTGCTGAGGGTTTCACTAAATTGCTGAGGCTGGTCTTGAACTTGGAATCCTCCTGCCTCAGCCTCCCAAGTCACAGGACATACACCTGTCCACCAATGCACTCAGTTGTAATTTTGATTAAATATTAATAGCTTGGGGCTGGGGATGTGGCTCAAGCAGTAGCGAGCTCGCCTGACATGTGTGCAGCCCGGGTTTGATCCTCAGCACCACATACAAACAAAGATGTTGTGTCTGCCGAAAACTAAAAAATAAATATTAAAATTCTCTCTCTCTCTCTCTTTAAAAAAATATTAATAGCTTGAACCATTTCTGTTGTAGACATTATCTGTGTAGCCTGTCAACATTTATTATTATTGACTGTGTTAGTTTTCTGTCACTGTGACAAAATACCTGAGATGATCCTAAAGAGAGGAAAGGTTTATTGTGGTTTATAGTTTAAGTCCATAATCTGTTTGCCTCCATTGCCTTTGGGCCCATGGCAACCAAAAAAGTAGAGAAGATGAGGGGAGGGGAGAGAGGGGGGGAAGGAGGGGGAAGGAGAAGAAGAGAAGAAAAGAGGAGAGAAGAGAGATCATGGTTTTAATATTCCCTACAAGGGCATATTCCCATAGGAACACTTGCAGTTAGAGCCCACCTCTTAAAGGTTCTGCTACCTTCCAAATGTGCTATGGGCGAAGGACCAAACCTTTAACATACGGGCCTTTGGGGGATACATAGAAGCCATAGTACCTGCTATATGTAAACAAAGGTTTGTTCATTTCATTTTAAGTTTCTCTTCTTTTTGTCCCTTTCTTTTGCCAAGGACATCCAGAGCCATGTTAAATAGATTTAGTAACAGAAGGCTTCCTTTCAATAGTCTTCTCAAAATAAATGCTTCTGATATTTTATTAATTGTGAAGTTTGTGCTCTGGTATGTAGATACATATAAAAGGAAAAAAATTGGTACTAGGGATTGAACCCAGGGGCCCTTTACCACTGAGCCATATCCCCAGCCCTTTTTATTTTTTTTTTTAATTTTGAGATAGGCTGTCACTAAATTGCTTAGTGCCTTGCTAAATTGCTGAGGCTGGCTTTGAACTTGTGATTTTCTTACCTCAGGCTCCCAAATCGCTGGGATTACAGGTGTGTGCCACCATACCAGGCCTCAGTTTTCAAATTTATCTTCCTGTTTCCTTATTTAGATCTGTATTTACCCTTTAATTCAACATTTCTCAAACTGCAGGAGTTCTGAGACAAGAGTTTCTACAGTTACATCTGTTTGAGAAATGCAGTGTCAAATGAAATAAAATAGTTTACTTCTAGAGCTTCATTATTCTTATGTGCACTGTGAATCTCCAAAAAAAAAAAAAAAAAAAAAAGAAAGAAAGAAATACAGCTTGTAATATCATTCCTAATTGATTGGAACTAATTGAAATTAATTATGGAGCCTGGCACAGTGGCGGATGCCTGTAATCCCAGCAATTTGGGAGGCTGAGGTAGGAGGATCTCGAGTTCAAAGCCAGTCTCAGAAACTTAGTGAGGCACTTAGCAACTCAGAAAGACCCTGTCTCTAAATAAAATATTTTTAAAAGGGCTGGGGAGATGGCTCAGTGGTTCAGTGCCCCTGGGTTCAATTCCCAGTATCAAAAACAAAACAAAAAATAAAAATAAAAAAGCAGAAAAAAGTTAATTATGGAATTTTTTGCACTGACCAACTAATAACAGCTTATGTGACCTAGTTCTTTAATCTTCAGATAGAATCATCCAGTCTTTTACTATGCTTTTCTGATGGAAAACTTGTTATATGCTGTCTCATTGCTAGACTGTAAACTCTTTGAAGGTGGATACTTCTTTTTTGAAACATTACCTGATTTTATGTATGTGTAGAGACCCTGGGGTTCTGCCTCTCTCTTGAGTCTTGGAAGGGGCACACTGGATACCACCCAGAAGTTCATGCATGGCAGGCTTGAGCTATTCAATCTAATTCAGACTTCAGGATCTTTTTGTTACATCTCAATTACACTACTTGTGAATTTAGGAGCTAGGTACTGCTGGAGCTTAAAAGATGAGTAAGACCTAGTTATGCTTTCCATCAGCATTTATCAGTGGTGGAGATCAGACAAGTGCATGAATGATTCAAACAACACACAATGAGTTCAAAAGAAAACAAGAGGTACAAAGCACATTTGGAAGACAAAGAAACAACTGGGCAGGTGAGGGAGAGGAACAATTGGGAAGATTAAGAAAAAAATCTCATGGAGGATATATTATTTGGGAAAGACCTTAAAGATTTAAAAAATGTAGACTTTTTTTAGGGTAGGGTATTTGGAAGAGTGGAATTACAGATGGAGGGCATAGCATAAGTAAGGCATGGATGTAGGAATAAGTAAGCAAGTTCAAGTAGCTCTGTTTTGCAGGAACATTTGGAATATATGGAATGAGTTATAGATGACCATTGCATAAATAATAAAAATAGGAAGAGGAACTTGAATGCCAATTTGGCTTTATATTGATGCTGCTGTCCTCAGAGAGCCACGATAAAAGTTTCTTAATGGAAGGGTGATATGGGGACAACTTGCTTCTTTCCCACCTCTTTCCTTTGCCTCTGTCCAACACAGAGCTATTCCCTTTGCCTCTGTCCAACACAGTAATATATCAAAACTTCAGCCAATAAATCAAACTTCCTGTCTCCTGATCTACCTATGGAGATATTTTTGGAAAGCTGTCCAAAATACTATAGAAACTAGGATATTAGAATCTAGTATAATGTGCCTGAATCTTTGTATAACATGCCTGAAACCAGGGTGTTGAGGAGAGGGTGTCTTGGAGGAGAACGTGTTTAGATGAAGAGTACAGATAAGAGTTCTTAGGTGGATTTAACAATAGTACCGAGGGGAATTATGCTTTCAGGTGTCAAAAAGGAAACCAGTAAGAAAAAACAACAGATGGATGTATATGGCAAATTCCAACTAGTGAGCCAGGAGAAAAAAACTGTAGCTAGTAAGCGGTTGTGAAAAGGTGAGTGAACTCCAAACAACTGGAGGGTTAGTTCGAGGCCACCCACCAGCCTTTAAAAGCGCTATCCCTCCTGGGGTTATGTTTTAAGAACTTCTAGTAGAGTTGAGATGGGCCTAGGGAAGCTGTGTTTGATGATCTAATGTTTCTGTGACCTGGACTTTTAGGTCATCAGAGTAAACGGGTTGGGGGAGGAAAGTACCTTTGGCATTGAAAGTGCCTGAATGTCTGGGCAAGCTGGTCCCTGCTGGGAATCAATAAAAGAGGCAGAGCAATGCTTCCAGGAGGTTTTTTTCCCCCTCACTGCTTCTAAGACCCGGTTCTACTTAGGCTTTGTCAGCAAAGTCCAGGTCCCGGGGTCCACTAGAGGACAAGGACGCCTCCGGATGGGCCTCTCTTAACCCCTAGGGCCGCAGGATTTGGCGCGCCCCCGCTTCCTCGCTCCATAGGGCCCGGCCGGCTCGGGCGGCAGGGTGGAGCTGCTGCAGTCCGCCAGACTGCTGCGGGCGCTCACTTCGCTCTTGGCCTGGTAGGTGCGCCTGTGTCGCCGGCGCCCGGGGAAGGCAGGCCTTGCAGGAGGGAGACGCCCGCCATGCCCGGCCCGCAGCTCCCCTCCTCGGCTTCCCGCCCGCCGCCCCCGCGGAACGACCAGCCGCAGCCCCTGTGAGGAGGAAGAGGAGGCGGCGGCGGCGGCGGCGGCGGCAGAGGAGGCACCGCCCCCTTGGCAGCTCCCCGACCTGGCGGCCTCGGCAGGACCCATGGCGGACTCCTCGCCCGCGTTGTCCCTGCGGGAAGGCGGCCCCCGCGCGCCGCGGCCCTTAGCCCCTTCGCCGCCGCCGCGCTCGCGTTCCGGCTCGGAGTCCGAGGAGGCCGAGCTGTCGGTGAGCCTGGCCCGCACCAAGACCCGCTCGTACGGCAGCACCGCCAGCGTGCGGGCGCCGCTGGGCGCCGGCGTCATCGAGCGCCTGGTGGAGCACCGGGTCCGCGCCGACGACACGCTGCAGGGCATCGCGCTCAAGTACGGAGTCACGGTGAGCAGGGCGCGCCGCCGCGGCCCGGGCTGGCGGCTCCGGGGCGGGGGAGGGGGACGGGAGGACTCGGGTGTGGAGACGGCAGCCAGCCGTCCCCGCGCGGCTCGGCCCCAAGCTCTCGCCTGGCGCGCGCTGCTGGCTGCAGCGATGGTCGCCCAAGCTGGTCTGCCAGTGCTCCCTCCCCAGGTAGCTGCCTCCAGTTCCCAGCGCCCTGCCCAGACTCTGAACAGATCAGTTGCGTGAGGAAGATCAAAGAGGACCCGGGCTTTGGTATCACCGGCAGCCACCTTCACCCGATTTGCTCTCGCCATCTCACTACTATATATTTACTCAAAGCCGCACTGAGGTGGATTCTGTTCTCCTTGTAAACAAGCTCTATGATGAGTCAGGAAGGGTACAGTTGTGCCCGTTGTATGGTACTGGTTCTATCGATTATGCTTCTTTATTTAGAAGTGAAATTACAACCCTGGGCTCACTGGCAACCGTGAATGTGACACCTGTGGAGAGGGCTGTGTTTATTACAAATTTATGTGTGTGCGTCTTGGGTATATTGCATTACACCTCTGGGAAGAACATGGAAACCTGAGGGAACAAATTGTTTCATTAAAATTACTTATAATTAACTCTGAGCTATGTGATGGCCTTTTTACATTTGAGTTGAGTATCAGTTTTCAGTGTTCTTTCCTGAAGCACCTTAGCAGTGAGAAGAAATGTGATCATATTTTTCTCTTGAAGTGAAACTCCGACTCATTGCCAAGGATGGAAGTAATCTGTTTTGCATATTTAAGCAGGTATATGTTTACCATTAGGTCTCTCTGTCAATTTAACATTTTTTAAATTAATTAACTTATTTTCATTGAGTTTATATGACAGCAATACGTATTTTGATTCATTGTACACAATTGCAGCACAACTTTAAATTTTTCTGGTTGTACACCGTGTAGTATCACACCATATGTGCAGTCATACATGTATCTAGGGTAATGATGCCCGTCTCATTCCATCATCTTTCCTGTGCCCTTGCATCCTTCCCATCCATCCCTCCCCTTTGCCCAATCAAAGTTCCTCCATTTTTCCCAAGCACCCTCACCCCTATTATGGATCAGCAAGCACTAATCAGAGAGAACATTCTGCCTTTGGTTTTTTGGGATTGGCTTACTTCACTTAGCATGATATTCTCCAGTTCCATCCATGTACCTGCAAATGCCATGATTTTATTCTCTTTTAATGCCGAGTAATATTCCATTGTGTATATATACCACAGGTCCTTTACCCATTCATCTATTGAAAGGCATCTAGTTGCTTCCACAATTTAGCTATTGTGAATTGAGCTGCTATGAACATTGATGTGGCTGCCTCACTGAAGTATGCTATTTTTAAGTGCTTTGGGTATAGATGGAAGAGTGGGATAGCTGGGTCAAATGGTGGTTCCATTCCAAGTTTTCTAAGGAATCTCCATACTGCTTTCCAGATTGGTTGCACTAATTTGCAGTCCCACCAGCAATGTATGAGTATGCCTTTTTCCCCACATCCTCACCAACATTTTTTGTTGTCTGTATTCTTGATAATTGCTATTCTGACTGGTGTGAGATGAAATCTTAGAGTAGTTTCCATTTGCATTTCTCTAATTAGAATAGATGTTGAATATTTTTTCATATATTTGTTGATTGTATATCTTCTTCTGAGAAGTACTGTTCAGCTCCTTAGTCCATTTATTGATTGGGTTGTTTAGTTTTTTAGTGTTAAGTTTTTTGAATTCTTTATATATCCTAGAGATTAGTGCTGTGATGTGTATGGCTAAAATTTGCTCCCAAAATGTAGGCTCTCTGTTCACCTCACTGGTGGTTTCTTTTGCTGAGAAGAAGATTTTTAGTTTGAGTCCATCCCATTTATTAATTCTTGATTTTATTTCTTGTGCTTTAGGAGTCTTGTTAAGGAAGTCGGGGCCTAATCTGATGTGATGAAGATTTGGTCTTACTTTTTCCTCTATTAATCGAAGGCTGTCTGGACTAATTCCTACGTCCTTGATCCACTTTGAGTTGAGTTTTCATTTTGAGAGCAGGATCCTTGCTGTGCAGTCATATACTGACATGCCATGGAGAACCCCTATTCTGACCTCTTGGGAGTTATCTAAATTGAACATAGACCTATAGTTCTCCATGTATCAGTGGGGCCTGGTTTGGGTCAGAGCCAGAGAAAAGCCCAGTTGGAAAATACCCATAGCTACTCTTTGTTAATTCTTGCTATGTGTCAGGCATTGCATTTGTCCTATTGCATCTTGATTTTATTTGACTCTCACAATAAGCCTAGCACATAGGTGGAATGAATCTTTTTACAGAAGAGAAGAAGTTAAGAGGTAAGGATCTTTTCCCAGTATGATTTTTATTGAGATCAGCTTGAATTAACACAATGATAAAGGATTTGCTTTTCTCTAGATATTACTTCTGATATCTACTCTTATCTAGAGGTCTCTCAGCATCTTGGTTACTGAAGGAGGAAAGTCTTTTTTATTTGGTTTCTGTACATCTTTCCTATCAGGCTAGGGTGCCTACAGCTAGGAATTTTTATGATATCCAGGAGTGTTATTTCCTATGTTTTCTTCCCATGGTGATCTCCCATTACCCACATGCCTTGTGGTTTCTCTTGAGTTACTTACGGCTCCCAAACAGCTGATCACTGTAGTTCTGTACCTTTTATCAAATACTTCCTAATCCATGTTTTGTCCAATATAAATCCTATTACTTATAACCTTATTACTCCCTTCCATTTGAGTGTAAATCAGATTTTTCATTGCTTTTATAAAGACTTTTGATTTTAAGATGTAACTCAGGTATGATGAATTGGGAAATATAGTCTGCGGTCACAAATAGTCCTTTACAATGTTTTTCAATTTTAGCACTATTGATTATATGGACTTTGTTGTTGGAGTCTGTCCTGTGCATTGTAGGATATTTAGCAGTATCTCTGCCCTTTACCCACTGGAGGCAGGTAGCACACCCCTCTCCTCATTCAGACATTGCCAAACATTCCTTTGGAGGCAAACTCACGCCTGGTTGAGAACCACTGGTTTTTCCATATATATGTATTTCATTACCTTGGGCTCTGATCTGTAGTTGATGAAGTTTTTGGAGACTTCTCTACTGGTTGTATAGAACCAGTGAACATAATAATACCATACAGTGAAGTAATATTCTTGTTTAATTAATACCTGAGTATATTAATTGGATTTACTTAATGGTAAATGAGATTTTAGGTAGAAGCTTAAAGGTAGAAATGTTTTCTGTTTTTTTTTTTTTCTTCTCTTAACTGAACAGAAAGAAGTTGAATGAGTTTAATTTTCTAATATTCACTGCCAGGATCATCTACAACATATTCAAATTGTTGTTTAAAAGACTCAGTGACGAGATGTTGGGGACCAAGGGGCCCACAGTAGTGTACCTGGAAATTAAGAGTCAATCCAGGCAAACAGTTGACCTTAACATTCCATGTGTAGCATGAGAGAGCACAGCTCTGCAGCTTAGAGGAGCAGGAACTCTCAGGCAAGCCTGACTACTGAGGGCAGCTCCTCAGCCACCCAGCTGGGTCACAGGCAGGACTTCAGTCCCTTGGTGGGGAAACTGGGTAAAAGTCAGTGGTGCTCTTTGTACAGGAAGCTTCCCAGAACAGAGACTCTGACAAGGGGTGAACACGGAGACTTGATTGCCTTCCCTGGTTTCCAAGGGGAACAAGTTGGAAGCTGGGTATCCAAAGTGATATTCAAAAGCTGGAAGCCAATTACATCTCAGGATATGGGGGTAGACCAGTGTTCCTTCAGCTGGCCTGGGTGGGAGAGGAGTGTGCTGGGGCAGACTGAAAATGAAGAGTCCAGCTGAACTCAGACCTTTGGGATCAGAATATCCAGAAAAGGCATCTATGAATCTCTGATTTTTTTAGAAGTATGGCCTCTTTGCTTATTCCCAAAGCCTTGTCCCTTCTTGGGCTCTTTGTACTTGCTATTCCATATGTCTGGAATGTTTTTTTCCAGATAGCTGAAGAGCTGGCTGAGTGCAGGAGCCGCTGCATGGGTGTGACCTATGCAGTTACATAAGGCCCCATGCTTAGAAGGGATTGTTACTTGATTTAATGCTCAGTTGTGTCTTAAAATCTTTCATTTGTAAACAAAGGCCCCACATTTTCATTTTCCACTGGGCTCTGGGCAGTGATCTAGCTGGTCCTGGTTTTGTGACCTGCTCTCTTATTGCCTTCAAAACTTTGCTTAAGTATTTCCTCTGTGGGATCTTGCTTGACCATTCTATGTCAGATTGCAACCCTCTTTCACACTGGCATTTTCCCCTATTTTCCCTGACTTGTTTTCCTAACAGTATTTATCATTCATCCAATTATTCTTTTTTTCTTTTTCCAGTTCCACCTTTCTGGTGAGACATTCGTGAACAAATAAAAATCCATGCCCTCATGGAACTTATATTTTAGTCAGTTAAGACAGTAAGTAAACAAAGTATGCTATATGTCAGATATTGATGAACAAAATAAAAAAAAAATCAAGGAGAGGATAGGGAGGACCATTGGAGGTGGTTGCAAGTTAAAATGGGATGACCAGGGAAGGCTTTACAGAGGAGGAAAGGGAGGGAGCCATGCAGATATATGGTGAAGAACATTCTAGGCAGAAGGAATAGCCAGTGGTGCAAAGGCCCTGAGGTGGGAGCATGATTGATAACTTCCCAGGAAGAGTATGGCTGGTGTTTAGAATGCCATTGAGAATAGTTGGACAAGATTACTTAAAGCCTTGAAAGCGGTTTTAAGGGATTAAGCTTTATCTCTCATTGGGGACCCATTGACAGTAGTGGTGGTGGGGTTTGAGCAGAAGAATGACATGGTCTTACTTATGCATTAAAAGGATCACTCTAGCTTCTGTTTTGAGAATGAGCTATAGGAAGGCTGTGCCAAGGCAGAGACCACATAGGGAAGCTTTTGCATGTGATGCAAGTGAAAGAACACAGTAG